TCTTCCCCGACGAGTTGCCCCCAGGGTTGCCTCCCAGCCGAGCAGTAGACCATCGAATAGAATTGGAGCCGGGGAGCAGGCCAGTAGCAAAGCCGCAGTGGAGGTTGAGTCCAGCGGAGACAGAGGAGATGACGCAGCAAGTTAGGCACTTTCTCGCACAGGGTTTCATACAGCCATCTAGATCGCCTTGGGCCGCACCGATACTTTTCGCACCCAAGAAAGACGGAGGGTTACGGATGTGCATAGATTACCGCGCACTGAACGCTGCCACCGTCAAGAAGAGATTCCCGGTGCCAAGAGTAGAGGATCTTCTCGATGCAGTGCAGGGCGCTAGAGTCTTCTCAAAGATCGACCTTCGTTCGGGTTACCACCAGATTCGAGTAGTTCCAGAGGACCAGCACAAGACGGCGTTTCGTACGAAGCAGGGGTTGTAGGAGTTTAGGGTTCTACCGTTCGGATTGACCAACGCCCCAGCGACGTTTCAGACGCTCATGAACACAGTCCTCTCCGAGTTCCTAGGGTCGTTCGTTGTCGTTTACCTAGACGACATCCTAGTGTTCTCTAAGACAAAAGATGAGCACGTGCAGCACTTGCAGAAGGTCTTCGAGGTCTTACGGAGGGAGCAGTTATACGCTAAGCAGTCGAAGTGCGAGTTCTTCCTTCCAGAGGTCGAGTTCCTAGGACACGTCGTATCCGCTAGTGGCATTAGGACTGACCCGAAGAAGATCGCAGCAGTACAGGATTGGGTAGCACCGACCTCAGTCAAGGAGTTGCAGAGCTTCCTCGGTTTCGCGAACTACTACCGTCGTTTCGTTCAGGGTTACGCATCGATCGCTAGTCCACTCACCGACCTACTTCGGAAGGGCGTAGAGTACGTTTGGGGTCCAGCGCAGCAGCAGGCGTTCAAGCAGATGAAGCAGTCGCTCACGTCTTCACCGACACTGTCGTACCTTGATCCCACTCGCCCATACGTTGTAGTGACCGACGCTTCCGATCAGGCCATAGGAGCAGTGCTTCTTCAGGACCAGGGACGCGGGTTGCAGCCGATCGCGTACGAGTCGCGTAAGCTTAGGGGAGCGGAGCTGAACTATCCCATACACGACAAGGAGGCGCTCGCGATCATCCATGCGTATAAGGTGTGGAGGTGCTACCTAGAGGGGGCAGATAGTGTTATACGCACGGACCACTGTTCGCTTCGTTTCCTCAAGTCGCAGCCGCAGCTGAGTCGTCGCCAGGCTAGGTGGATGGAGTTCATGGAAGGGAGCTTTCACTACAGGATAGAGTACAAGCCAGGCGTGCGCAACCCAGCATATCCGCTCACTCGCCCTAGTTGTCAGCTCGCCAGTCTCACAGTCACTGCTGGCCACCCACTTCTCACAGCACTCTTCGAGCACGGTTACACAGTAGATCCCGACTTCACACCGCAGCCGCCCGCAGGAGCAGAGGTGCAGGGTAGTGTCTACATACGGAAGGGTACCACACGGATTTGGGTTCCAGCCTACCGCCCTCTTCGACAGCTCCTTCTCTCAGAGGCGCACGACGTAGTTAGTGCAGGGCACTTCGGAGCAGATAAGACGGCTAAGACGCTTAGTCGCACGTACTACTGGCCCGGGCTTGCAGCAGACGTAGAGGATTACATTCGCTCGTGCGACACGTGTCAGCGTACGAAGTCCTCTCGCCAGCGCAAAGCAGGACTCTTGCAGCCGATTCCACCGCCCGACCGCCCTTGGCAGGTAGTTACCATGGACTTCATCATGGCTTTACCACGCACAGTTAGGGGTCACGACGCCATCTTCGTAGTAGTGGATAAGTTTTCTCGAGCAGCGCATTTCATCCCCACGCACGGCAAGGTCACAGCAGAGGAAGCCGCGACGCTGTTCGTAGATAACGTAGTCCGACTGCACGGGGCTCCAGATTCCATCATCTCAGACCGCGACCCTCGTTTCACTTCGAAGTTCTGGAAGCAGCTTTTCGCACTGTTTGGGACTCGCTTAGCCATGTCGTCTGCGTACCACCTAGAGACAGACGGACAGACCGAGCGTGTGAACCAGACCTTGGAGCAGATCCTTCGCAGCATCACGATGCACGACGCAGCCGCATGGGACAAGAAGCTGAGCATGGCAGAGTTCGCCTACAACAACACGCACCACTCCGCCACAGGCATGTCACCGTTCTTTGCACTTTACGGTCAGCACCCCAATGTCCCTACTCGTGTCGATCTCACACCCACAGTCCCTCGTGCGGACAACTTCCACCAGCATCTCACCTTCATTCATGATCACGTGAGGAAGCACCTTGAGCTCGCAAATGCACGCATGGCACGCACCACCAACCGCAGTCGTCGTGAGGTGTCGTTCGCAGTCGGCGACCGTGTTCTCTTGGATAGCCGCAACATCCGACTGCCACAGGACAGCAAGCTTCGTCCACGTTTCATTGGTCCATTCGTCATTGAGCGCGCACTAGGTCCAGTCGCATACCGCCTTCGCCTTCCCGCACATTTCCGCATGCACCCGTCATTCCACGTGTCTCTCCTTCGCCCATACACCGATCCCAATGCCACCTTCTCGGGCCGTGATCGCACTCCACTGCCGGTAGCTGTTGACACCGACGAGCCCGACTACTAGATCCAGCGCATCCTCAGGCACCGTCGCCGTCTCTAGGGGGGTGTCACTTTCATCGACTTCTTGGTTCGTTGGCGTGGTTACGACGCAGCAGACGACAACTGGGTTCCTTCGTCCTCGCTGTCTCCTGACAACGCTTGCCTCCAAGCGTACCTTCAGTCTGCAGGCGCCGCGGACGTCGCCTCCTTGGGCGGGGGGTAGTGTTAGGGGGGTGTTTACTGTTCATTCCGAACAGTACATTCCTAGTCACCATTATCCTTATCTTCTCAGATTCTCTAGTGCCATGTGGCACTCTACTTTTCTTGCACTCCAATTCTTGGTCCCACATTCCACTTTCCAACCTTGTTTCTTGCATGCTATATAAACCTTGCTTGTACTTGCCATTATCAATCAATTCTCATTCAACTCTTCTTCAATTACTCAGTAACTTCTTCGCCTATTTCGCCAATAGTTCTTTCGCCAAAGTCTTCCGCCGCGTTTCATCCTCGACTTAGTCGACCCCGCTAATTCTTTAGCGGACTTAGGCCGTCGGGCCTAACAGGTGTACTGAATTAAATTGGTTCAGCTCAGAAACTTCAGGGCTGCGCAGCAAGTGTCAGGAATGCTGGGCCCATTTGGCGGAGCCTTCCCCGCAAATCCCAAATTCCGCTACCCGAAGCCTAGCAATTCTGAACTTTGACGGACTCGCGCCCCACTCTCCGGAAAGTCGGCGCAAATCCGCCATTGTGTCAGACTTTCGGGGGTTGCGCTTCCGCAAACTTGCGACCGAAGACCACTTTCCGCTTGGCGAATTCTGCTTGGGGGGCAGTGTCACGAAAGTAAACACTATCGTCCATTCGTTTGTAACACCATTTGTAAACAAATTTCACCCGCAAGCGACTTCACTTTTCGCCAGCATATTTCGCTCATCGAATTTCCACCGCCCTGGTCCCGCCGTTGCCGTGTGCCGGAAAGCAATTTTGGAAATCTCAAGGTTGGTTGGGAAGGCAGGCAGCACTCGGCATAGCACATTCCCCACCACACCACATCGCCTCGTTTCGTCCTCAACGTTCGGCTTCTCACGCCCACCTCACTCAACATTCGCCTACCTTCCATTCTGCTCCTCACCTCTAGTTGCTCACCGCCAGATGCTCAGCGCTAGTTCCCACGAAACGCTTACGCTGCTGTTATTCTTTCGCTGGCGACCGATTTGTTTCTTGGGACGAGAAAACGCGGAGCTAGGAGAAGAGGTGTTGGCGGAGCGTCAGCAGGCAGATTCTACGTCGCCTTGTGCTGTTTTAGACCGTCGATTTCGTCGCATCCTCCGTGGAAAGTAGTTAATCGGGCGTCGCGAGAAATGTCTTCGGGCGTGCAATGTTGGTGCGAGTGGATGCGAAGACGAGAGCGACGACGAGGTACGATGGGGTCCGCGCCGTTGTGCTCTTGAACGTCGCTGCCTGCTCCTTCCCGCGCGCTTATCGAGCCTCCATTCGCACCCGCGCTTATGGTGCACCGATTCCAGCTAGCGCTTCTCACGCTCGTAAATTCTATTTCGCGTTTCTCCCTCCTGCAGGAGAGCGATCGACGACCTCTTAATGGACGGCCGTTGTTGGCGGAATCGACGGCCGTTTTTTTGCAGAATCGACTGCGAGATTGTCGTCCGCGCGTCGTCGCACGGCGAAATCGTCGTCCACGCGTCGTGCACTGCGAAATCGTCGTCCGCGCGTCGTCGCACGGCGAAATCGTCGTCCGCGCATCGTCGTACTGCGAAATCGTTATCCGCGCGTCGTCGCACCGCGAAATCGTCGTCCGCTCGTCATCGCACGGCGAAATCGTCGTCCGCGCTTCGTCAAACTGCGAAATCGTCGTCCGCGCGTCGTAGCACGGCGAAGTCGTCGTCCGCTCGTCGTCGCACGTCCTCACTTTCACTTGTCTTGGCTTCTTTCCTCACTGCTCTCCCCACTCCTCTGCACCCCCTTCACTTCCCCGTTTCCTTCCCCCCCTCCTCCCTTCCTCTCTCTGTCCCAACCCGCCCCCTCCCATCCCAGCAGGTCGCCCTATGCCCTCCTTCCCCAGCTATATAAGGGCCTCCTGGGCCCTGCTCTTCTCATTATTTCGTTTTGGTTCAGGACACCGGCGCTTGAAAGATGGGAACCTAGTCCCAGCCCTCTTCCCTCAGCCCTCAGCCCTCCTTCCCCAGCTTTATAAGGGCCTCCTGGGCCCTGCTCTTCTCATTATTTCGTTTAGGTTCAGGACACCAGCGCTCGCGCCGCCGTTAGGGAATGGCATGACAACAATGACAACTTAGTGTGCGTATGCAAGCAAACAATGAGATAGATTAGGACGGCATGGCAACCAACAAGGTGCCTACTGCACTATGCTACCGCAGACGCACGCTGCCTACAACCACCGCGTCACTCCCGTCTGTTCTAGCAGCCGCATCGTCAACCCGTCACCAAGACGGAGTGCTGACACGAGCCCGTTTATCAAGTCTACAGCTAAGTGTGACTGCACTCGGGAGCCCACGCCTTCCATCTCGGCGGCCGCCTCCGCTCCCAACACGGGCTCCCCCACGTGCTCCTCCTCAGCGATCTCCATCTCATGGCGGAGAAGCCACGCACCGTCTCGACTGGCCAGCAACTGCGCATGGCCCATCGTGCACGCAGCCAGAGGCACGTGGCTCAGAGACACGGCAGTGTTCTCCAGCATTGCCCCCACAACGGCATAGTAGGTGCGCATATGCCAAAGGCGCACAAGCAGCTGCGTCTCAACATCCAGCGCGCGGGGCGCCCCTTTGCCACGACGGGACAACCGATCCAACACAATGCGGCCGCCCACTCGCAACCCACCAGGGCGGCGGCGCGTGGGAGAGCGCCGTGACCGGAGCTCAGTGGTCACCCCTTCCCCCACCGCTGTCGCCACTGCTGCTGCCTCCCCCCTTGCTGGGAACCCATGGGGACCGGCCGGAGGCGCCTGTGGAGGAGGAGCAACTCCCGGGGGCGGCCCCATCACAGGCGACTCGCCCCTCGCGTCAATCCCCGGCGGGCCAGCAGGCGGAGGCGGATGGGGATGAAGATCCAGAGGCGGGGGCAGCTGATCAACCGTGGGCACTACTGGAGCCGTCGGTCTGCCCAGATCGCGTATCATACTGCCCAACGGAGCCAGGGCGCGCTCAACAGCCGCAGTCGCTGCCGCGGTCGCCGCTTCGGCTGCAGGGTCCGGCTGCCGGGCCCTCGGCGCCCATCGACCACGGCCAGAACGCCCGCGAACGGGATTGATCGCCCCCGCCTCCGCGATTGCGCGCAGGAGGAGACGGGCGCCGAGGAGACGCCGGCCGCGAGGAGACGCGACGGGGAGATTCCGCCGGAGGAGAACGGCGCCGTGGAGACGACGCCCGACTGCGCGAACCGCGCTCCAACGCGGGCCATAGAGCAGGAGACGGAGATGGAAGCCGCGACGGCGGCGGTTCCCGCCGCTCGCCGTGCAGACGCGACGGAGACCGCTCGCGGCCGCGACTTCGCAACGCCGCCATCGTCAAACAGGGGGCAGGGTCGTCAATGGTGGACTCCGGCCGGTCGCACCACACCGCACCAAGATCTGGTCTCTCCAGCACTGCGTCCGGCGTCAGCGCCAGAACGAGGGAGCGGAGGACGCAGAAGCGCGGATGCAACCAGACGGCGTGAATGCGGTCGTGGGACTTCAGGCGGACGGAGAGGTGGGGGCAGTTTCGTGGGAGCCGTGCACAGACTACTAAGGCAGGAAAGTCGTCAGGAAAGTCGTCAGAGGGAGAGCACCATGGGGGAAAACGTACGAGAGGAGAATGCGAACATTGCAAATGACGACTCGGTTTCGGGTGACTCCACCTTTATCCCTGAAAACGAGGGGAGACCAGAGCCTTCGACGGAGGATGAGTTTGAGCGTGCAGATGGGGAAGGTCAGCAAATTTCAACCAGAACACCAGGCCGAGCCGCCGGACCACGAATCCAATCCTCCCCCAATCGACCCGCCAATGCAAACACGGACAACATTGGTAACATCGGGGGGGCTGTGGCGCCAGAGAGGACCCCAATTCCGCTTTTGTCCCCTCGCCAATTGGCCGAGGCCTCAGCGAAATTCGCTGACATTGCCACATGGGACACCCTGCTACTCCGCGATCCCCGTCAACCACCCCTGGCAAGATATTTCCCCCGCAGCATCCGCGACACCTTCGCCACATGCCTCCTGACACCCCTCCCCGATTGGCCCGTGACCCTGACTCCACGGAGGCATGGTCACTTCTGCTTTTCCTCCCCCGCTTGACTCTGCGAGCATCCTCAACAAGGAAGCCTGATTGGTACGCGATCTCTGCACGCCTGCTCCAGTTTCGCCAAGGCCACTGGCGCGAACTCTACGAAGCAGCGTGTGAGGCAGTCAACCTCGTTCCCTCCCCACGCCATGTGGCTGACGACCTGGGGAAATTGGCACGCTCGACGGCCCTGGCAAAACGCGGAAGTCTTGCGAAATCCCTCCAGGCACTCGAAAGCACACCAGTTAGCGAGGCGAGCCCTCACACGCTGGCAGCCCTCCAGTCCCGCCATCCGCCAAGCAGCATGGGGCTCCCTGCATGGCTTCCCTCCTACGAGACAACTGCCTCCCCCGCCATCACACTCCAGGACCTTCGGCGCATCCTCTCCTCGTGCAAGAACGGGGTGGGCGCAGGGCCCAGCGGGATGACGTTCGAACACCTCCGCGAGGCCGCTCTCCGCGGCCCTGACGTAGCCGAGCATCTTCTAGAGCTTATCAATACGGGTCTAGCAGGGAAGATAACACGCCCCGTCGCTGAGCTGCTTACCACCTCACGCCTACTTGCGTTCTCCAAGCCGGACGGCGGAACACGTCTCATCGCCGTCGGCGAGGTCCTACACCGCCTCATCGCCAAGGCCGCCCTCCTCCTCGCCACTCCCTTCGCTCGCCGCCACTTCGCGCCTCTGCAGTACGGTGTTGCGACACCGGGCGGCGCGGAGGCTATCATCCACGCAACCCGTACCTACCTGGAGGAGAACCCCGACCACCTGGCCCTCCAACTCGACATCTGCAACGCTTTCAATGCGGTCGAGCGGCAGGCGGTCTTCGAGGGCCTCCGGGATACGCCCCTCGCGTTCCTCATCCCATTCACCCGCACTTCGTACGGCGCGTAGTCCTCCCTCCTCATTGACCGCGCCTTCAATGCCCCCGACCTCAACTCCTCTTGGGGGGTCCGTCAAGGCGACCCCATGGGCCCCCTCCTCTTCGCCGCCGCCCTACACCCCGCCCTGAAGGCAGCTGCTCCTGAACACCCGTCGGTCGTCGTGCTGGGGTACGCCGACGATGTGACACTGCTAGGACCCCGCGCCGACTGCACAGCTGCTTTCAATACACTCACCTCCGCCATCGAGCCTCTGGGCTTGATCCACAACCCATCGAAGTGTGCTGCCTGGACACCCGCAGCAGGCCCACTGCCTCACATCCCACACGGCGTCCCCTACTTGGTCTCCGGCCTCAAGGTCCTGGGTAGCCCCGTGGGACCAGCGGCCGCTTGCGCCGCCTTCCTCCGCGACCGCCTCGCCACTGCCGTGTCTCCCTCGGCGCTATTGTCACAGCTCGACCCCCAGACCTGCCTTCTGCTGCTCACAAGGTGCATCAGCCGCCGCGTGTCTTACCTTCTGCGCTCGACGCAGCCTGAGCTGCTGCCCGAGGAGGAGTGGTCAGATTGGGGGGAGGGCAACTACCGTACCTACCTCTCCTCCGCCTCTATTCCAGAGCCGCGGCTACGGTCCGAGCAGCTACGCACCTGGCGGCAGGCTTCGCTCCCTGCCACGCTTGGAGGCCTCAACCTCGCCGACCCCGCAGTGGAACGCTTCCCAAGCTACCTTGCTTCCACTGCGGCGTCCGTGCATCTTCTCGGCCGACCTGCGATGAGCTCCCACCCCAGCATCTTCACCCTCCTCCCCCTCTTTTCTGCGGACGACACCAGCAGCTCCGCCCTCCCACGACGACTTGCAGTTGCGGAAGCAGCAGTACCGCACGAAGGTCTGGCCCTCCTGCCCCGTTTACGGGAGGGAGAGGAACTGAACAAGATCCAGCGTTCCCTCTCTCTGCACGTCCAGGCGGTGCGGTATACCGCCATCCTTGACAAGAGCCGAAGGCTCGACCTCAACCCCCTTTCTGGCCACACCCAACGTCTCCAATCCCTCCTCGGCCCAGGTGCGGGGGATTGGCTCTCTGCGATCCCGCTCACCCCCTCCCTTACCTTGGCGCCGCCCCATCACGCCTCAGCATCAGCATTTCGCCTAGGACTGCCGCATCTAGTGCCTGGCAGCTGCGACTGTGACAAGCAAGTCGAGATCCCAGACCCACGCCTGCCCAACCACCTCCTTCGATGCGGAACGGGGAAGGGCCACACTGGCACCCACAATGCCCTCCACGACGAATGCGCGAGCATCGCAGCCGAGGCAGGGTTCTCCGTGCTGGTGGAGCGACGGTGTACACACCAGTCGAGGGACTGAAGGCTGACATCGCTATTCGCCACCCGGACACGTCGGCAGTGTGGCTGTGCGACATCTCCGTCGCTGACCCCATCTCCCGCCAGGACCCTCTGGCTAGAAGAGCACCTGGCACCGCTGCCGCCATTGCGGCCCGGGCCAAGGAGCACAAGTACCGCAACCGAACAGCTTGGGTCGGCTTCCTGGCTATGGCCGTTGAGACATTTGGGTACTGTTCCCCTGGAGTGCTAGAATACCTCCGCCTGTGCGCAAATCTCGCCGCTAAGCGCCTCCACAACGCCGAGCCTTCCTCTAGGGAGGCTGCGAAAATCTATCACTCTTATCGGCAGCGCTTCTCAATCACACTCCAACGCGCGCAAGCATCCGCGTTGGCTGCCAAGACCCTGACGGTGTTTACGGCTGGGTCAGCCCCCACGGCCTTCCAGGGGGAGCCCCTAAGCACGGGAGATCTCATGCACGTGCTCGAGGTGCCTTAGGTTGACCTTGCCTTGCTTGTATGGCCGTATTACGAATGCGCTGTAATATCTTGCTTATTCAATGAAGGACCATTCGTGGAGGGGGGCAGCACTCCACTCCACTCGGCTGGGATGGGAAGGGAGAGTATTGGGATGGGTCGTCTTTACAAGGTGAGCCTCTTTTCCCCTCCCTGCCGTAAGTGCATTTGTGTGTGCTCTTTCCTTCACTCACGCTGCTGCCTTCCTACTCCCAGTGCTCACTTTCGTTTCTTGCTCCTGTCCCTTTTTCACACTTCTGCATGTTTTTCTCCCCATGCTCACTGCTCTCCCTTTCTCCCTGCCTCCCTCCCTTCCCATCCGCCTGAGGCATCATGGCGCTCTGCATGGCTCAGGTAGGTGGAGGTAAGGAGAGGTAAGGAGGCATGGGGGTGAAGTGTGGGGTGGGTGGTGGGTGGGTGGGTGGGTGGGTGGGGGGAGCATGGGAGCAAGCAAGGAGTTCACTCCCTTGGGGGCAGCATTCTCTGGGGTTATGTCTTGTGGTGGTGGGGTGTGGTGGGTGGAATCTGTGCAGCATGGCACTCGGTGCTCAAGTAACTGATCTGGCGTTCAAGGCCTAATGGACACTGTCAGAGCCGACCGGCCGGCGGCTCTGGTTCGCGTCAGCTCTGGCCACGTCAGGGGTGGGATTTGAGTCTTGAGCTGGAAGCAATTCTCCACTACCACTCCTCGCCCTGCAAGGCACAGCGTCTGGGAGTGCTGTTTCCTTGAAGCAGTGGGCTGTCTGCTTCTCTTACTGCTGGCCGGTAATGGTGGGGAGTGTGTGGGTGGCGGGGAGAGGAAGGAAGGGGCCTGAATCCCCTTGGGTGGGTGCTGGTGCTGGCAGGTGAATGGTGGGGAGGGGACAGGTAAAGTGGCGGGTGTGGTTGGGGGTGGGGGTAGGTGGGTAGGTGTGAGTATAGGTGGCTGAGGTTTGGGCAGTGGGTGTGGGAGGGTGTGTGGATTGAATGGGTGGTTCTAAGTAGGTGGGTGGGTGGTAAGGCGTAGGTGTGTGGGTTGGATGGGTGGTTCTGGATAGGTAGGTGGGTGGGTGGGAAGGTGTAGGCGTGTGGGTTGAGTAGGTGGTTCTGGGGAGGTGGTTTGCAGGTTGATGGATGGATGGTGGAGGGTATGGGTGGAGGGTATGGGTGGGTGGCTGCTTGGTTGATGGGAAATAGTGAGAGGGTTCGTGGTGTGTGAGTGGCTGGGTATGTGTATGGGAGTGTGTGGCTGGTTGTGTAATGGGTGGTTGGAAGGTGGGTGGTCGGTGGGTGGTCGGTGGTTGGGTTTGGGTGGATGGGATCATGGGCGGGTGAGTAGGTGCCTGAGTGGGTGGGCAGGTAGGTGAGTGGGCAGGTTGGTAGGTGGTGGGTTGTGTATTGGTTGTGTAAGGTCCGAGGGTAAGTTGAGTGACAG